TTTAAATATGCAATACTTGACTATTTAGTCAGAGGCACTGACCTCTTTTCCCTTAGATTGTTAAATTTAAAAAATGATACACCCATCATCAAATTATACCTTTTTTTGTCAAATCAGCAAAAAACAGTATATTTTTGGTGTGCCTCAGAATGTTAGTAATTAATTTATGTGTGCCATGTGGTGAAAAGGTTGAAAATCAACTGTGCACCTATGGATGAGGACAATAGGGGATGGGGAAAGGACAGAGGGTGGGGTGGGAACCTAGTGGAGGAGAGCAATTGAAAGGAGGAAGAGGAACACATTTATAATAATCTGAACAATAAAGATTAAAAAAAAAAAAAAAAAGGTTGAAAATCGCTGCCCTAGAAATGTGAAACACTAATCAATGCATAAGGTTGCTATACTAACAAAAAAAAATTTTTAACACAGTTCTGATACTCTACCTCATTCTTATTCTGACAAGATATATGCCATTTGTACATTATTTAAGAAACATGGCTCCTTGTTCATCCTGAGAACCTGTATTTCCCATGTGATTTTCCAATTGATAAAATGGCTACTGAAATTTTAACAACTTACCCATTTGAATATCTGAACCTATACTAAAATGGCAGGTTAATTAAGCTTGATCTATAACACAATAAGCTGAATAGCATCATATGATATCGGTAAGCAGTTAATAAAGAAATACAATTTATCAAACTGGCAGTCCCTGTCTGCATAAAACCTAATCCCAGCTTTTAATTTGAAGTAAAAAAAATCATCGACATTTCTAATTCTACTAGTGTGTCAACTACAGATTCTACAAAATAATTTTTATATACAAATTCCTTTTTATTCCTGAAACATATACAATAAACTTACTTATTATTGGAGAAGAAACTATTATTCAACAAGTTTAAATAAAGACTGGTATGGCTTTGGAAGCCTAAATTTCAATTTAAAAATAATTTCAGATAAATATACAAAGAACTTTAAATATAAAGTAATTGCAATTCCTTTTAAAATAAGGCAAAAGACTAGTAAACCAAAAACTCACAAGCCAAATTACTATCAAATTTCAGTTCAAGATAATAAAAACCACTGCTGAATTCATACACTGTTTTCACAAAGAACCTACTCACTTACAGAAATTCTTCTGTACTGTAATCATCCAAACTTGAAAGAGCAACATGAAATACCTGACTTCAGCATCCTGGGTACAGTCAATGTGAAAAGCAGATGAAAAATGTAATTGCTCTATTCCTGGATTTGGTAAATACAAATTCTGATCTGAACTGCTCACTATTAGAATCTAGGTGTTAAACAAGGAACTGTTTAAGAGGTATTTATCTAACCTACTCCCTCTTCAAGCCACTAAAACAACTGAGCAGTTCAGCCTATCTTCTGACCATAGAGCAACACATATTTTAATGAAGGGTTTGGCCTGATGATTATCTTCAGTCTAGAAGACTCAACAATCATAATAAGGAAATGGAAGAACAGTCATACATTCTAAAGAATAATTTCTTAATCATGATATACGACCATCATTTCCATATTGAAATTCAGAAGACTAATATTAAGCAGGAAAAAGAAGTTAGATAATAATTTAACTAAAAGTATTCAGCTTCGCCAGGCCCGAGTGGCTCAGTGGTTGAGTGTTGAACTAGGAACCTGGAGGTCATGGTTCGATTCCCGGTTGAGGGCACATGCCCGGGTCGCAGGCTCAATCCCCAGTAAGGGGTGTGCAGGAGGCAGCTGATCAATGGTTCTCTCTCATCATTGATGTTTCTCTCCCCCCCCCCTTAAACCAATAAAAATATTTTAAAAATAATAAGTAAATCAAAGTATTCAGCTTCTAAAAGTGAATTCTAGATATCACATACAAATGTGATATCTAGACAAATAGTTTATGACAAATGATCAGAATGGTCTGTCTGCCTAATTTAGCCAATGATAAATAATTACCATCTCAAATAAGTGTCTTTAATAAAATATCCTGGAAACAGAATGCAGTACAAATTGACTTAACTAGAAAACTAAAATAAATGTCTTCTAAATGGTTTCTATTTAAAATTTTTAATTAATAAAAGCAAATACTCTGAGTTCAAAAACCCAATTTTTTATATTAAAAGGAAATTTTGCAATATGCTACAATGAATGAACCTTTTACTAAGTGAAATTAACCAGTCACAAAAAGACAAATACGCTATGATTCCACTTATATGAGGTACTTAGAATAGTCAAAATCATAAAGACAAAGTATAATGGTGGATGTTTACCAGGGGCTAGATGAAGGGTAGAATGGGGAGTTATTGTTTAACTAGAGGCCTGGTGCACAAAATTTGTGCACTCAGTGGGGGAGGGAGGCGCAGGGAGCATCCCTTCAGCCCAGCCTAAGCCCTCTCACAGACAAGGAGACCTTGGGGGATGTCCAACTGACCACCAGGGGGCAACTCCTGTGTTGAGTGTCTATCTTCTGGTGGTCAGTGCTCATCATAGTGACCGGTCATTCTGCTGTTCGATCAATTTGCATATTAGCTTTTTATTATATGGGATAGGTATAGAGTTCCAATTTTAAAGATGAAAACAGTTACAGAGATGAATGGTGGTGATGATGCACATGTGAATGTATTTAATACCAGTAAACACTTAAAAACAGCGAAAATGAACTTTATGGTGTTTATACTTTACTACAATACAAAAAGAAGAATGTTCTAAATGATCTAAAACCCATGAAGATGCTTTTTCTTATCTATTATTAAAATTGCATTCAAGTACATGAAGAATGTTGGGTGTTGAGCCTGTCTAAAATCTTCCAGGAAATAGCATTCCAAATGAGTCAGAAGCACACTCAGCTCTATGACATCAAAAACAATGAGGACACTTGATGTTTACCAGATGATCTCTCTTCATTGCATAATTCTAACCCTTGTTTCCATTGAACAGAAAGTATAAAACACATCACTCCACATAAATTTCTCCTAAAGGCAAGTTATGCGTTTTATTTATATAGATACAGATCAACTCTGTTTTACACTTTAATTCCCATGCATATCTAGCAACATGTCTCACACATTGCAGAGAATCATTAGTATCACTGGTTGGTTTTGAGTCTTTACCTTGATGGGAACCGGAAATGTTTCTACTTATTCAGGTTTAAGGAATAACAGCAGCCTAACATCTAGAAATGCTACACAATCAGCAGATATTTCTGCTTGAAAGAGTTAGATCAATTTGTTACAAAATGCCTTATTTCCTTTAGATAAACAAACATCAGAGAATTGTCACAGAGGGCTGAAATCACCACCTGGTAGGCATCTGGACAGTAAATGCTCAGCCCATTTGTTTCGTTTATAGATCAAAAACTCTAAAATGTAGTTGTGGATTATGAGATCCCAAGTAAGCAATTATTAATTTGCAACAAGCATTACTGAGCATAGAGTTTTTAATGCCATCTGTTTACAGATGAAGAAACCAAATTGGCCTCCCTGAGATCACAATATCACAAAACCTAAACCCTACACTTCTTATTTTTAACTGCTTATAACTAATTTCAGAAACAGTGTCATAACCTTGTATCTTGTCACTGTCACTAATGTTCCTACGTCCAATGTATCATAAATATACTCTGTATCTGACTCTCATCATTTACATTTTTCAAGTAGATAAAATCTGTTGTGTGCATTTCCTGTAGATCTTGTTTATTAAAATTATGTAAATTTTTTGGTTCTTAAAGCATACCACTAGTATAAATATGGCTTATTTTTCTTTCTCTGGTAGATTTACACCACTAAATGTTCAAAACAGAACACTGGTGGCCATTAAACAAAATAAGTAGGCATACTATGTATAGTGGGATGGACTGGAGCTTCTCTACCTTGTTAAGACAGAGATTTGTTGTCAGCCCATATTCTTGAGCTCTAGGAGTAGGTGAATATAAATATTTGTTGGATGAAGATAATGTAGAAGGATAGCTTCTGCTGAAACCGGTTTGGCTCAGTGAATAGAGCGCCGATCTGCGAACTGAAGAGTCCCAGGTTCGATTCTGGTCAAGGGCATGTACCTTGGTTGCAGGCACATCCCCAGTAGGAGATGTGCAAGAGGCAGCTGATCGATGTTTCTCTCTCATCAGTGTTTCTAACTCTCTATCCCTCTCTCCTCCTCTCTGTAAAAAAAATTCAATAAAATATATTTAAAAAAAACAAAAAACACACACAGACTTAAAAAAAAAAAAAAAAGATAGCTTCCATTGCATGAAGCTGTTGTTCAACCCATTCAACAAGTATTTAAAATTGTTTTGAATGATGATAAAATAGAAAACCTCACAAACCGAACCAAGAATGTAGAAGTTATGAACATTCCCAATGAACATAAGCAAAAACAAAAAGCAGAAAAGATTACTTGGAATTTGAAAAGGCAGTACACGTTTTAAACTGAGAGTACATTTAAAAAATTAGCACATTTTGGGGAGGTCCTAAGTTCATCATTTGCATCCTTCTAAGAATGTGACACAAGTTGGGAAGGTTATCATGAAAAGTGACCAACTGCCCTCCCCTGCAGACCTGGTTACCTCTAACTGCCCCCCCCTTGGTGACCTGATCGTCCACAACTGAGATCCCCTGCTGGCCATCTTGTGGCAGCCATCTTTTACCAGATGGGGGCAGCCATCTTGTGTGTTGGAGTGACAGTTAATTTGCATATTATCTCTTTATTATATAGGATTTCATTCTCATTAAGGTGCAATTTTCTAGCAGCTTAAGACTGCTATTAAGAACTTTTATTTTTTAGTAATAAGTAGCACTGAGAAATTTTTTAAAAAAGGCAGCAGCAGTATGGTATAGTACTGATTAAAAGTCTAGACTATACCAAAACTAGACTTGAGCCATAAATTTGCTATATAATCTAGGATAAATTGCCTAACTTCTCTGAACATTTATTTCATCATCTCTTAAATAAAGATAATATGTGTCCGCTTTATAAAGCTATTTTGAGAATTAAATAGACAAAATACTTACCGATGATAGGCTTCTCGCCGATACTTTTTCAGGGCATGTTTATCCATGTTAGCAGGCAGATCTGCTGCATTCTGTAATCGATCACTCCAGGAGGTTGTCATTTTAATTGTATTCTGAATTCTAGAAAAGAAAATTAGTATTGTAATTTAGAAGCTTAATATTGATACCTGATTTTTAAAGATACATATTTTTTTTTTAATTTATTTTTTGTTAATCCTCACTTGGGGATATTTTTTCCGTTGATTTTTAGAATGGAAGAGAGGGAACAAGGGACCAAGGAGGAAAGGGGAGGAAGGGAGAGAGGGAAAAAGAGAGATGGGGGGGAGGAAGGGAGAGGGAGAGGATGAGAGAAACATGTATTGACTGTCTCCTTGCACAAAATAGACCTCAAAGTGATGCCATAACAAGAGATAAGGAAGGTCACTTCATAATATTAAAAGGATCAATACAACAAGAGGCTCTACAGCAGTGGTTCTCAACCTGCAGGTTGTGACCCACAGGTTGAGAACCATTAGCAAGGTCACCTAAGACAATCAGAAAACACAAATATTTACATTACAATTCATAACAGTAGCAAAATTACAGTTGTAAAGTAGCAACAAAAATAATTTTATGTTGGGGGTCACCACACCACAACATGAGGAACTGTATTAAAGGGTCGCAGCATTAGAAAGGTTGAGAACCACTGATTTAGATGCTTGATAGAATGCTATTAAACAATGATTGGATTACCAAAGAGATCCAAGAAGATATTATAAACATCCTGGAAACAAATGACAATGAAAACAACAATCCAAACCTATGGAACACAGTGAAAGCAGTCCTGAGAGGGAAGTTCATAGCTCTACAGGCCTATCTCAAAAAACAAGAAAAAATGGTAATAAATTATCTAACTCTAGAACTTAAAGAATTAGAAAGCAACAAGAAAAGCTCAGAGTCAGAAGAAAAGGAGATAATAAAGATCAGAGCAGAAATAAATGACATAGAGACAAAACAAAAGATCAATGAACAGCTGACAGTTAGCATATTAGGCTTTTATTATATAGGAGGATTGTGTTTGGTAGCAAAAGTTGGTATATAGTATGAATCAAATAAATAAGGCGAGAAAATAAAGAATGACAGTGGTCATGCAAATTAACCATCACTCCATCACAAAGATGGTGTCAGTCCTCTTAGCCCTGCCAGAATCCCCCAGTCCTGGGGAGGAGGAGGAGGTGGCCATTGAGAGCTGGCAGCATAAGTGGCCCGGCAGAATGCCTGCTTCATCACCGCAGCAACAAGGCAAGCATCTGCGCCCAGCCACAGATGGGTCTCTGGGCCATGGAGAGCCTCTGGGCAGCATGCGCGCAGCAGCCAGGCCCCACAAAGAGCTACTGGCGCACAGATTTGCACGCAGAGCTACTAGCGTTTATATAAAGACTTATAGACAAATATTCCATAGCAGCTTTATAATTGTCAGAAACTGAAAACCAAATGTCTTTTGAATAGGTTAAAGGACCCATTGTGGTACTTCATAAAATAGAATACTATTAATATTATGCAATGAACTACTGATATACAACCTAAATACCAAAATTATGCTGAGTGAAAGAAAAAAAAAAAAGATTCCATTTATATAAAATTCTAAAAAATGCAAACTAATTTATAGTGACAGAAAACAGACAAGTGGTTGCCTGGGGTGGAACAGTGAGGCTGCAAAAAGCCCTAAGGAAACTTTGGGGATATGTTCATTACCTTGATTATAGTTACTGTTTCTCAGGTGTCTCCATATGTCAAAACTTAACTGCACTTTCTAAATATGTGCAGGTTGTTATACATATTTATACTTCAATAAAACTATTTTTTAAAGTCAGGCTTTTTTTCCCCTAATTTCTAACAAATTGGAGGTAGTAATTACACTAAAAGAGATTTCTCTCATTTTTAAAATTACTTTCTTCAAATTATTTGCAGGAAAAATTCAAAGTACTTTCTTATATCACTCATGGATTAAGAAAAACACTTTTTTTTTTTTAATCCTCACCTGAGGATTTCTTCTATTAATTTTTTTTTTTAAGAGATAGCGCAAAGGAGAGGGTGAGAGGGAGAAAGAGAGAGAAAAAAACATCAATGTGAGAGAGATACATTGACTGGTTGTCTCCCACATGCACCTTGACCAGGGCTGAAGATTGAACCTATAATTGAGGTACATGCCCTTGATGGGAATTGAACCCATGACTCTTAGGTCTGAGAGCCAATCTTCTTATCACTGAGCCTAATTGGCCAGAGTAAAATAAATATATTTTATTTAAAAGATTAAACTTATAGTCTCAGCAAAAGTCACACAAAATTTTATTCAACTAAAAATATGAACATAATTAAATAACCATATTATCACTAAAAAGGGGTACAAAATTATGTGAAGCTAAAGAGATGAAATTTTCTTAAATCAGTATCTTCAAACAACTTCTCAAATGACAGTTTTCCTAATACTAGAGGTCCTATGCATGAAATTCGTGCAAGAGTAGTTTAATATTAGCAGCAGCTAATAATAAATAAAAAGCTCTAATTTTAACTCCTCTTAAACAATAGTGGTACATGGTACAGTTAGATAATTCTGTTTTCTTATAAAATATCCAGCAAGCGAAGTAGTTGTACTTGACACATAACAACTGAAATAAACTCTTAAGCATTTTAAATATTATAGTCTCATACTTTAAAAATACTTCACAGGCAAAACATGCAGTTTCCTTCATCACTAATACCACCTTCCCCCAAAGAAAGGGAAACCAGCTGCCCCAACAGTTCCAGGCAACTGCTAAAAACAGGAAGCAAGAGTAAACTGAAACTGTGGGGTAAGCCTGGTTATTAGCAACCTGCTTCAGCTCACATCAGTAATTCACTTGGAAAGAAGTGAATAGCACTTAAATATAATATATATTAAAGGCCCATCATCAGGCAAAGTGTTTTTAATACACATGGCAGTTTGAATCATATATTCATTCTTTTTGTTTTAGTGATCCAAATATATTTAATTAGCATTGAAATATCCTCTACTCCAAAGCTCGAAGAATATATTTTGGCATTATCATGCCGCTGTGGTTTAGACAAAAATTTTTTTTAGTAACATCCCGTTGGGAAAATTTTTGAACATGTATCTCCAATATACTATGTGCATTATTAAACAAACACAGAAATTTATAGAGTATGAACTAAAAAGTCATGTTTTCTTTACCCTGGAGGAGTACTGATCTGATTTTCTCAATATCTTTGGCTATGGGGAGGCCCTACCAAATAAATATTCAATTTTCAATGGAATTAAGTATGTCAATATGGATAATAAAATGACACCAGTAACTAAATATGAACTCAGTGTTTTACTAAACTTCATTGGAATTTATTTTGTGAAATATAAAGCTTAGAATTTACAAATTTAAAATCAACCATTTTCATTCTAAGAACACTGAACACTGCTTTGAAACAAATTTTTTTAAGTCTTTATTGTTGAAAGTATTACATGTCCCCATCTTTTTAGCCCACCCCCCACCACATTTGAAACAAATTTTGAATTGTTTCTTCAAACTTTCTCACCAACCTGAAATTTTAGTCTTTTTCTTTTTAATTGATTTTTTTTTATTGATTTCAGAGAGGAGATAGAAACATCAATGATGAAGAGAATCATTAACTGGCTGCCTCCTACAAGTCCCCAGAGGGAATGAGCCAGCAACCCAGGTATGTGCCCTGACCAGGAATTAAACCATGATCAGGCCAGCAGAGGAGGGAAGTTGGGGGCAAACGGCTGGCAGGGGAGCAATTAGGCATCAATCAGGCTGGCATGAGAGTGGTTTGGGGGTGATCAGGCTGGCAGGCAGAAGTGGTTAGAGGCAATCAGGAAGGCAGGCAGGTGAGCAGTTGGGAGCCAGCAGTCCTGGATTGTGAGAGGGATGTCTGACTGCCCTCTATGGGTCCCAGATTGGAGAGGGTGCAGGCTGGGCTGAAGGACAAACCCCCTCTCCTGCCCCCGTGCACATATTTTATGCACTGGGCCTCTAATGCTAAAATAATAGCTAACATTTATTGAGTGGTCACTTCTTTTCATGTGTTATTCTAAGCACTATACATATTTTATCTAATTGACCTCACAACAGTATGAATTAGGTATTATTTCATTATACAAAGACGACGACAGTACAGGGAAGTTAAATAACTTAACCAGGGTCATAAAATTTTACTTGCAATGAAGTGTGCAGATTCTGGAGTTATACTGTGTAGGTTCAAACCTGGCTTCAGCACTAATGAGCTCTATGATTAAATAAATTATACAATCACTTCGGTTTCTTCCACTCCAAAATGGTCAGATTCAATGCATCAATAAGTGCAAGGTGCTAAGTATAGTGGCTGACACATAGTCCTTAATAAATTATTTATAATGCCATGCCCCACATTGTTTAAATACTGCAACCTCTGCACAATACAGTACTTGATGTTTGGAGGAATGTTATAATAGCTTTCTACTTTCAGAGTCACAACTTCAGAGTACCGAAAAGGTGTCAAAGGCTATGTAATTTTACACATTTTTTCATGTCAATCTAATTATTCTAAATCTAATGTCCTGTTTGTAGGTGTGTTTTTTTCATGACATCTCCTAGTTCCACATAAAATTACCTCATCTAACATGCCACAGAATAAATTCAAGGCTAAAAATATGGCACTTACTCATTTCTGATTTGTAAAAAAAACAAAACTGTTTACTCTCAATTTACAGCTTGGTCTTATTTATACCATACCTCTTAAACTCATAGATATATCTTAAAATTCTTACAATATTGATATAGAATGTTTGAGTTGTATCTTTTAGCTGATTTACTTAGCAGCTCTAAAACACAAACCTAGAGATACACGTCTAACTAGATTCTAAATGACTAGTTAAGAAATAAGATTGCCAAATGTTTTCCAAATGTTTTCATGTGTTTAACTAGTCAAAAACATGAAATACTCATCTTTATAGGCAAATTACTTTATTTACATATTTATTGCAATCCTCACCCAAAGATATGTTTCCATTGATCCTTAGAGAGGAAGGAGAGAGAAAAACACCCATGTGAAAGAGAAACACTGATCAGCTGCCTCCTGTACAGACCCCA